AGCTGAGGGCACCTTCTGCCTGCAGCATTAATGGGCATTTTCTTTTGCAAAATCTGTTCTATCTTCCCCAGATAAAAATAAAAATATCCCCTCATTTCAAACATACTGCTTTAGCAGCAAAGGAGAGCTTGTAATCCGTGGGAAAGCATCGTCATGTTCAGAGCCCAAGTGGTTGGTTAATGAATGAAATTAAGATTGAGAACACTTGCAAACGAGAACGTTGGGTCAGGACGCAGAGTGCTGTAGACAGTGTTCCAGAAAAAGGCCAGCAGCCATCACCAGTCCTAAGCTAGTGAAATTCACCCACAAAGACACTTCTTTCTCTCTTTGGAAATGCGCACTCTGGCAAATAAATAAGGAGATAGTTATCCTCTCTATGGGCAGGGGAGTGAGTTAAATTATGTGACAAAGTTTCTCCATGCTTGGAACAGTGGAGTGACATGCAAAGTGACTCCTTGAATCATCTCTCAGCCGTCCCTCTGCCTTGGACCCATTTATTAGGCTTTTATTCATCAATTTCTTTTATTTTAAATCTTATCTTCAAACAGTGGACAGTCACTTATTTCTTCTTTATAGGAATGTGTTTTCTTAAAGTGAAGAAAAGCTTTCAAATCTCACCCCAAAGTGGGTAGTACTAGTGGTGTTCTTTGGAATTGACAATGAACTAGCCTAGCCTAGGTTCATGTAACTTAGGTGAGCTCGGAGTACTTCCTTTTCCATCTGTCACATTGACCAGCTAGCCTTGCACATTCTCAACATTGTACCGTGTAAATAGGACGTTACATTATTAATTCAGCTCCGGGCTTTTTGCAGATGAGTGCTGCAGAAGCACACGCACTTATGGAGTGATAGATGCAGGGCAGAGAAACAGTCAACTCTGTGCTACTCAGGAATCAAGAGTGAATCATGTGAATGGGAGGAGAGTCCACTGGGTCTGCTGAAGGTCTACAGATGTTTGTGGGGGCTTCCTGCTCCATTCACTGATTCTAAAATCATGCAACAAGACTTATTATAGTCAATTACTCTTTCCCGTTGAAGGATGTGATAGCCTTCAGGGTAAGAGACTCCATCCAATAAAGAGCAGTTTACAATTTCTAGAAGGGTAACTTTAAAAAAAAAATCCTTAATTTATGGTTTGTGATTTGTACCTACAGTGGTGTATTTTCTGTCCTGCGTAGCTAACAATAACTTCAATATGTACAGGAACTCTCTTTAAAAGCTTTGATCACACTGCGTTTCTTGTTACCCCAAGAATAATGAATTCGTGGCTGCAAAGTTTTGTGCTTATAATTTATATCGTGTCAGACTATGGACACTTTGAAAGTAGCTGTAGCAAGTGCCTCATTTAAACTCTACTGGATGTGTTTGGGGGCTTACAGGACACCTAGGCTCCTTCTGCAGGTCATAGCATGCATCCCACACAATGGATTTAGACTGAATGAAGTCATGATCAGAAAATATTGATACAGCTGGGAACAGAAGAGACATTAACTTATTTTTCAAGCCTGTTTCTACCTCTGTGTTGAAGTTATAACACTAATTTTATTTGTTCTACATCATAGTGATATAATTAAATAGTCTACAGACTAATAAAATGTTAGTTCATAATTTGTTATTATTAAAGTTATATTAATACTTTAAAACTCAATCAGGACAGGGTATATTTTAAACTTGCTGGTAAGTTCTATCTGGACACGTTTGTTGTGGAACTATGGGATAGGAGTTGAAGAGCATGTTCTGCTGAGTACCAGTGCTCCAAGAACAGAGCGATGAAGAACAGAAATGAATGGCTGTGGACTTGGCAACTCAGAAGCCATTGTTAACTACAGAGTTTCAATCTATGGATAAGCGTAAAGGCTAGATTTCAGGGCAGTAGATGTGAGATGGTAGAGGTGTGTGTAAGGCATGGAGACTGATCCTGTGAATCGTTCAGCCACCAGGTAAAGGGAAGAAGAAAAAGTTAGAGAATTTGATAGCATGTGGTTGTAGAGGACTTTGTGTTTGTGAAGACTTTTAAAGAGGATATATGATACAGAATAAAGAGCAAGGCTCTGCATTTGCAAGCTGCATAACATTGAGGGATGTATGTAACCCTGGAGTACCTGTCTATGAAACTGAACTAATGATGCATACTGAAAAGATGGTTTGGGGATATTCAATTTATATATATATATTTCAAGACAGGGTTTCCCTGTGTAGTTTTGGTGCCTGTCCTGGATCTCGCTCTGTAGAACAGGCTGGCCTTGAACTCACATAGATCCACCTGGCTCTGCCTCCCGAGTACTGGGATTAAAGGCGTACACCACTGCCACCACCACCCGGCCCATCATAAAGTATTTTAACCCTGCATATCTTACTTTTCTTCTGAAAGGGTGGCTAAGTTATCCAGTGGGACAGTTCTGTGTTTTGCTGAGCACATAATGGATCAGCATAAGCTCTAAGGAACAGTCCTGTGAAGAATCCGTTGCCCTGCATCTGGAACCCAAGATTCATGCCATTCGGGAGGGAGGGGCTTAGCCACAGAGATAGTGCTGGGTGCCAAGGGCCTGCAAAGGAGGCAGGTGACTGGCATGAAATGTGCCTCCCTTAAGGACCCCTCTTCAAACACACAGTGCCTCCTGAGTGCACAAATGGGCATGGTGGGTGTAGTGGAGACCAATAAGAACCTTGGAAGGTCAAGGAAGCAGACAGATGAATCCATGGAAAATACAACTGATTTTCAATAATGAATGAAGTGTTTAGGAGGAGTGTGTGTTTCCATAGTGCTGGGGTTTGTTTCCAGAATGCCTGTGTTGGCCCTCAGCCTGTGCTGTCACTGGGGGGTGAAACCTTTACAGTGAGGCCTAGTGGGAGGGAGCTGGGTTATTGGGGCTTGCCTTTGAGGAGGATACTGGTACCCAAGCCTCTCCTCTTTCTTCTCTGTGCCCCCAAAAGGAAGCAGCTTGTTCCTCCATTTACCCTACCATGACATACTCCACTACAGGACCCAGAGCAACCAACTGGGAACTAAAACCTCCCAAACTGTGGGCCAGCCAGCCTTCCCCTTCCAGGCAGCTTGCCTCGGGCGTTGTAACACAGTCAGAGTGAGCAGACGCACACATACACGGTGAGGAAACAAAGGGGAAATAGAAGTTTAAGACTTTGGTAACCAGAAAGCTGAAGGCTCTATTGTATACTAGAGCCTCGTCTATTGGCTCTGGAACCAGTTATCTCAGTCAGAATCACTTTTGAGTAAAGATGCCCTAGAAGGGGTTGTTGTCATTCTGCTGTCCACAGAGTAATCGGGGGCATGGGACTGAAATCACGGGTAGACTTTTTCTTTATAGGCACCAGGTCAGTCACTGAAGTACAGCTTTGGCACTGTGCTGCAATTTTCTAAATCATGATGAGTTCAGTTCAGATACGTACTGGTCCCATCACTATTTATCCAGTTAAGAATACTATCTGTTTAGCTCCACAAAAATTCAACTTGGAAACTGGCTACAGAAAGTCTCAGTGTGTGTATACAGACAGGCTCAATGTGTGTATACAGACAGGTTCAGTGTATGTACACAGACAGGCTCAGTGTGTGTATGCAGACAGGCTCAATGTGTGTATACAGACAGGCTCAGTGTATGTATACAGACAGGCTCAGTGTATGTATACAGACAGGCTCAATGTGTGTATACAGACAGGCTCAGTGTGTGTATACAGACAGGTTCAGTGTGTGTATATTGACAGGTACAGTGTGTGTATACAGACAGGTGCAGTGTGTGTACACAGACAAGAACAGTGTGTGTATACAGACAGGTTCAGTGTGTGTACACAGACAGGCACAGTGCATGTATACAGACAGGTTCAGTGTGTGCATGCAGACAGGTTCAGTGTGTGTACACAGACAGGCTCGTTATGTGTATACAGACAGGCTCATTGTGTCTAAGATTGGCAGGACCCAAGAAACTGTATCTGTTCTGTAAAATCACTATTCATCATAACTTCTCAAAAATGAAGGATATAAATATGCTAGGAACAATTCCCAAGGAAAATGAATTTTGAAGAAGCTACCAAAGTGTTGGCTATTGTTGGGTTGTTATAGTAAACAACTAAACAAGGTAGATTCTTTTTAAATACGATATTTTGTTAAATATTTCATGCTTTGCATTTTTACCATACCCCCTTTTTTCCCTCTGACTCATCCCGTATCCATCTCCCAACTTTGTGTCCTCTTTTCCTTTTCTTGTCTTTTTTTAGTAACCCACAGAATCCAATTTGTGCTTTCCGTATATTCATGGTTGTCACCTGTGCACTGAAGTGTGGTCACCTCACCAGTGGCCTCATGGTTAGAGAACCCTGTCCCCCCTGCCCGACCATCAGTGTCAATAGCTTCTCAATTAGGAGTGTGAGCTCATGGGTCCCTGAGATACTTTTTGTGATGCTAATAACCTGGCCAATGAGGGTGGAAGTATCAGGTTTGGAAGCACTACCACAGACACCCACTTCTGCTGATATGGAGCCGGACATAGTGACTGTTGCTTCTGGTGGTGTGAATTAACCTCGTAGGTCTATGTGGAAGCAGGTGGAGCCCACAGAAGAGCTCTCACTTTATCTCCTGCTAGTTAATTACTCTACCTCTAGGTCCATTAGATGGTTCCTAATCACTGGGCTGTCTCTGGCTTCACTCACAAACTGTGTGATAATTCCAGTCTACTTGTTTTCTTAAGTGAAATCCAAATGACTGAGTGCCTGAGATCCAGAATACCATCCAAAACTGAAGTGTGCTGAAGTGGGCTATGTAATTAACACAATTTCATCAAAAGCTGCTTATTCTAAACTGCTGTTACATTGTTAATGTTCCCTTGACTCCTCCAAAGACCATTTCTCAAAAGAAAGAAAGGAAGGAAGGGAGGGAGGGAGGGAGAGGAGAGAGAGAGAGAGAGAGAGAGAGAGAGAGAGAGAGAGAGAGAAAGGAAGAGCGAGCGAGCATCTTTGCCATCAAGCTTTAGAACAACTAATCAGGAGTGTGCATGATCACAGAGTAAAGAGGCGGCACAGCATCCTAGTGGATACTGAGGGGACACTTCTCCCTATCCCATGGGACATCAGTGAAAACCCAGAGCTGTGTGATGCAGTTCGGTGTTCTCTAGGGCTGTGCATCCCTGCCTGCCCGTCCAGCGGCCAGTGCGCATGATGAGTGCTCATCCCAGGTGAGGGGTCCAGCGGCCAGTGTACATGATGAGTGCTCATTCTGCTTCTCTGCTGTGAACACTTTGCTTCCAGTTCTGTGGAAGGTCCAAAAGAACCTAAAGCCACTTCCTGCTTCCCTTGCCTGGCTCCTCCATCTAAGGAATTCCACCAAAAAGTAGTTTTTCTGCCTGCTTCTTTCCCCCCTTCCAGGAAGGCCATGGCCTTGCTCTGTGCATTCAGTAACTCTTACTGAACATCTAAACTACTACATACAGGAAGATGAAGATGAGTAAAACTCAAACTCTGTGTTCAGACGTGTGAAGGGCACAGACACTGAGAAAAATCATCACAGTAGTATAAGAACACCTGGTTTATGATCAGTGTCCTGCTGCATCCTGCACTGGTGTGCAGAAGAACAGAGAGGCCTGCAGAGAGGAGCTGAGGACTGAATGGAGTCTGAAAAGATGTGGGTCAAATGGGGAATGGAAACATTCCAGAGGATGTGTGTAGGAAGGCAGAACGGATGGTTGTAAACACTGCCACCACCAACAGTCATTGCCATCAAACCCCTTTCCTATATTTCCTCTAAAGCATTCAGAAAATGGATATTTTAAAAATTATCTCATGTGGGTTCAATGTGTGCTGTCTTCCTAACTGTAGATTACATATTGTAATGCAGCGTATAGTGTTTCTTTTAAATAATGAAGTCATGGCCTACGACTGGAAGCCTTAAACTGACCAATGATCGCAAGAAAACTTTAAGAAGCCATTTAGACATACTACCCAAAAGCGCCCCTGGTTTTTCAGATGAATTCTCTTAAACCTTGAAGAAACAAAATTCCCTATGCTAATTAAACTGCTTCACAGCATAAAGGAGCCAGCCTTTTCTGAAACAAGTATGACTGCAATGTAAAACCTAGGAAAGCCGGCGCAGGAAGGATGCCTTGAAAGATTGGCTGTCTGTTCATTTAAAAAAATAAAATATAAAAATGTCTATTAAAGTTTTGGAAGAACATCATGGGAAAATATTGGGAAAAGAATAGTTGTTCTAGATATTAATCCATAAAACTATAGCAATTAAAACAACATGAAGTCAGAGCAAATTAATCAGTAAAGAGTACAGAAATAGGCACAAATAATTATGGTAATTTAGTGCAATAATAAAGGCTATAAATAAATGGGCTAAGGATGACTGTTCCAAAATAGTATGAAGACCGTTGGCTAAATGATGTTCAAAAAATACCACTTGAAATCACAGTTTAAATTAAGTTCTGAATGGCTCAAATAGTACATTATAAAAAGATATGCATATGCATACTACATCAAGATAAAATAAACTGTAAAGATGATTCAGTAAATAAAGTGCTCACAGGGACCTGAGTCCAGTGTCTAGAACCCACATAATCAAGTCAGATGTGGTGGTGGCACTTAGACTCCAAACTCTGAGAAAGCGGAGTCAGCAGATCCTGGGGCCCAGGGGCCAGTCAGCCCAGACCAATCAGCAAGCTCCAAGCCATCAAGAAATCCTGTCTCAAGAAGCAAGAAAGGGCAAAATGTAATTATAAAACTACATTTCAAAATAAACAAAACATACAATGGACAGTTCCTGAGGAACAATACCCAAGCTTGTCCTCTGGCCTCTGCAAGCACCTGTGCCTTCGTGAATGGGCACACAGGCACAAAACAATGTGAGTAAATATTTTTTTTCCATTTAGGACTTTCCATTAGGAATATTCACAAAGTAAAAGACCAGTGCTGGTGACTGTCACACTGACAGATACAGTCTATATTTGGCAAACTGTAGAGTTTATTAATATAACAGAGTCAATATCCCCAGCAGAAAGAGTCCTGATTAATTTGTCAAACGTGTGACACTAAGAAACTAAGCAATGGAAGTGGATAGGCTTGTCATTTATGGGCATATGTGCCTTAGAAAGAACCCAGAAACGCCTAGGTAGGTATGAGCGTCTGCTCGGTGCTGCTACTTACTTAAAGATGACGACAGTGGAGATCCATCAGTGACCCGTTAGAAAAAGACACAGTAAGTTTGTCCTCTCCATTGCTGGCTGTATTTGAGGAATAACCATGCCTATGCATTGTTGAAGAGACATTCTAACACTTTTAGTGAAATGTGGGCTGTATCTACTGGCCTCTCTGTAATTAAATGCATCTGAACACACATTCAGAGATGTTGACATATGAAGGAAAATTTATATAACAATGAAAAGTTAGAAAGATCTTAAATGTTACTCCGAAGTGCAGTCTGTCTGGGTAGCTGCAAAGGCTGAAATGTCTGCATAGGTCATGGGGCCTGTCAGTGAGGACGTGGGTGGTTTGTGAGGCAAAGGGAGCAAGGCTGTGGTAGATGGGAGCTCATCTTCACTAGGGTGCAGCGGCTCTCACCAACAGCAATGTTTCCATGAGGGAATGCTCAACCAGGCTGCCAGATTTTCAATTTTCCTGGAAGAGAAATTGGAACTGGAGGATGCACACCCAGGTTCTTAAAAAAATCAGACGTGTGGGTTATCTATAGGACCCTCATTGTAGCAGAACATTTCTTTGTCCCATCACTTACCTTCCCTCTCCAAGAAAGGATTCCATGCCTTACTCATGTGTGACAGTCTGTGGGAGCAGTATGCACCCATTAATGACAACTGCTTGTCATGGAGCATTAGGAAGCATTAGGCGTCATCACATGTTTCCGCTTCTCTCTATATCTGTCTCCATCTTCACTAGAAGTTACAGGAGTCCTGGAACAAAACAAGATGTGAAACAGGTCCATAGTAGGTGACCCCTGACCTCTGACATGCCATGCACGTGGTGAATCCTGGGACTGTTGGGTCTTTGAGTGCTGCAAAGCTGACTAGGAGAAGTAACAACTTAAAAATTTGGCAATTTTAATATATATGGAAACATTTCTAATATGTTTGTAAAAGAGGAGTAGTAAACAGAAAAACAAAGTTTAACATGAAACTGTAGTGGGTAGCTGTTCCAGCTTTCACCTGGAAGTACTACCCCCAGTGAGGCGTCCAGTAACCATCATGCCTACCTATGGCCTGCCCCTGAGGCAGGGCCAAGACGGGAGCCCGTAGGACCCAAGATCTGGATGTGCCAGCTCTCTTGGTTCCTGGTAATCCTGGATGTTGGATGGTAGACCGAGTTCTCCAGAGAACTCAGCTGGACTGCACCTCACCTCTCCCGGATCCTATAATCTATCCTTTTACTTGTTGTAAGTTACCCCAAAATAAACCTCCCTTTTAACTATGTGGAGTTGCCTTAATAAATCCCTTATTATGAAACTCACTGGCATGTGAGTTGAGGAGACTGGAAGAGAGGCAGAACTTTCTCTAGTGAGTACCTTGAGACGTGGGACTTGGGACAATATTTAAGTATTCCTTCTTTTCTGTATTTATGTAATAAATACTTTTTTTAAAGACATTATTTTTAAATGATTGGTGATTGTTTGTTTTAAGTATCAACATGACACAATCTAAAATCACTTGGACAGAGTCTCAGTGAGTGACCATCTGGATGAGGTGGGCTTTTGTGGGGGACTGTGTAATGGTAACTCTGTGGGTGGCGTCATTCCTTAGGGTCCTGGACTGGGTAGTCAGTCGGCTGCGTGTGTGCATTCCTTGTCTCCGCTCTCGACTGGGTGTGGTGTGACTTGTTATGGGAACCGTGGCCAACACGAGCGCTTTGTCCCTCAGTTGCTTTCCTCGGGGTATTTTACACAGAAGTGAGGCGAAGACAGTGGGTAGAGACAGCACAGGGTGCTACCGAAAGACTCTTACCAGAAGGCGTTTCCCTCTCTGCCGAGTAAATATCTGGTCTTAACATGCGTGTGAAGTGAAGGCGAACTAAATTGATGGAGTGATGTTGGCACAGGCTGGTGTATGATCCAGTTTTAAAAGGCAGAATGTCTAGAAATAATTCGTGACCGAGTTGACACTGTAGACAAGCCAGGCAGAGGTGTGTTTTCCAGTAACTGGCCCTCAGAGTCTGTTCCTCCATGTGGAAATAAACTGAAACTGAGCTCCCACCTCTCATCGTAACCCAGAAGTAACGCCACATGGATTGGAAATTTCAGTATGAAAGGGAATACAAGACATTCCGAAGGCTGTCGTCTGCAGATGACTTTAAGGACTTTGGAGGAAGAGGTTTCTTTTGAATCAATTTCAAACCATGAAAACAAGTTGCTCAGCTGCATCAAAGTGGAGAACTTCTGTTCGCCAAAAGACTTCATTAAAAGTTTAAAAGTATGGGGCTGGAGAGATGGCTCAGAGGTTAAGGGCACTGGCTGCTCTTTCAGAGAACCTGAGTTCAATTCCCAGCAACCACATGGTGGCTCACAACCATCTATAATGAGATCTGGTGCCCTCTTTGGGCATGCAGGAGTATATGCAGCCAGATTATATACTGTGTAATTAATTAATTAATTAATCTTTTAAAAAACAGTTTAAAAAGTAGGGAAAGATAAAAACCATTTTAAAGGTGTATGCCTGTAACCTCTATAGTTTTTAACACTTAGGATAGGTTAGCTCCTGTACTAAACACTTCACATACACCAATGCACTCAATTTCACAGTAGCCCTGATAACAGCACCCCATCTCCTGGATGACACTGAGGCAGGAAGGACAGGTGACTTGCTCAGCCATTCAGCAGTAAGTTGGGATTTAAACCCATTCAAGAGATTGAACAGACATCTCACCAGAGAAAATCTCACCAGTCAGTAAACATAAATGGTAATCGCTTTCATTAATCAATGAAATGCAAATTAGAGCTACAGAAAATTCCAGTAGAGGAGATAGTGCTGGTGGATATAATGTCTGATGCACGAGTTTGGTACACAGTGCCCACATAAATGCAGGCGGGTGTGACGACCACCTCAATCCCAACACCAGGGAGGCAGAGACAGAGAATTTCGATAAGAAGCTGACTGACTAGACTGGCCGAGATCAGGGAGATCAGGGTTCACTGAGAGACTGCCTCAGATAAAGTCAGAGTAATGGAAGAAGATACCCCATATCAACCTCACACCCCTACACACGTGTACTCACACACACAGCAGGTATGCATACATACATGTATACTACATGCAGGCAGACCTAACTGGCAACAGTCAGCTTCCCATTGTACGATCATGGCAGAGACATGTGCTACTGAACAGAAGGTGGGTGACATCATCGTCTTCACAGCCAAGTCATTGATATTTTGTCACATTTTTGTGGGAAAAAAAAAACTATCTCATTAGGTCATATTTTTTTTAATTTAATACAACATTTTATCTCACATGGACATGTGAAACAGTTCCATTAAAAATAGAAGCAAATACATCTTAATCCATAAGATATGCATCCATAGTTTATTAAATGGCTTGTAAAATATAAAATTAGTCTTCCAAATAGAAGGAAATTGAGCCTTATTCAAGTATATCATGATTTAAAATATAGTGTGTATTTGACTGAAAAATTTATTTAACTTCTGCTTTGAAAAATAAAGACTACTTCACTTTTTTATTAATTAAATTTATTCATTTATTTTACATCCCAACTGCAATTTCTCCTCCCTCTTCTCCCATTCCTTCCCCCCACCTCCCCTCTGCCATCTCCCCCAAAATCCACTCCTCCTCTGTTTCTGTTCAGAAAGGGGCAGGCCTCCCCTGGGTGTCAACAAAGCATGGCATATCAAGTTGAGGCAGGACTAAGCTCCTCCCCTCGTTTTAAGACCTGGGTAAGGCAATCCAGTATGAGGAATAAGTTCCCAAAAGCCTGCCAAAGGATCGGGGACAGGCCCCACTCCCGCTTCTAGGAATCCCACAAGTAGACCAAGCTACTCAACTGTCACCTATGTAGAGGGCCTAGGTCGGTTCCATGCAGGCTCCTTAGCTGTCTGTCCAGTGTCTGTGAGCTCCTGTGAGCCCAGGTTAGTTGTTTCTGTCCGTTCCCTTGTGATGACCTTGACCTCCCTGGCTCCTATAATTCTTCCTCCCTCTCTTCAACAGGGTTCCCCCCACGCCCTGAGCTCAGCACAGTGCTTGACTGTGGATCTCTGCATCTGCTTCCATCAGTTACTGGGTAAAGGCTCTCTGATGACAATTAGGGTAGTCACCAATCTGATTACAGGAGAAGGCACCCTCTCCACTTGCTAAGAGTCCTGGCTGGGGTCGTCCTTGTGGATCCTGGGAGTTTCCCTGGCACCAGGTTTCTCCCTGAGGAGTAATGAAAGAGATGTGCTGATGGGGGAGCATTTCAGGGTCAGGAAAAACCTCCCTTAGAAAGATGTGTGTGTACCAGTTTAAGGGAGTCCATAAATCACAATGGTGACTGGCGAGTAAGCCTGGCAGGTTTGGGGGCTGTGGTTTTTGTTTTGTTAGTTTGTTTTGGAGGGAGGGGTGTCAGATTTTGTTGTCATTTTAACCACTGTCCCCTGCTCTATTTCTCACTGTTTCTTGTGTAATTTTCTTACCTTAAGATACTGAATTAGGAAGGATCGAGTCTGGTTACTGTTCAGTTATCACAATCCATAGCACATTTTTACACTGGGCTGTGAAACATTCTTAGTCATGTTGGTATAAAACAGAACAAAACAAGAAACAAACAAACAAAAAACAGAGGTGAGGAATGACAGGCAGTGCTGGGGGAAGAAAACCCCTCAGACTTTGATTGGTCACTGACCAGATAGTAACAAGAGAAGGTCCTTCACTGATCACCTCAACCCTCCCCAGGCCTGCCAGCAGTCAGCTCATTTGGTCTAAAACTCCCTCCATTAAAAAAAAAAAAAAAAAAAATCCCAATGCTGCCCGCACCTTCTGGAGCCCAAAGTGTAATAATGGGTGAATTGTGTTTTCTTCCCCACATCTGCACGCTGAGACTGTTTGGAGCTCTTCCAGCTTAACTCATTGTAATCAAGTTGTCCCAGCCTTTGTTTTAATAAGATTCCAATCTCGAGGTCCATCCTTGCATCAGTGACTTTACACTGTTAATTGCTTTCTTGTCCTCCATTAAATTGCGGTTACAATTGCTTCATCGGCATAGGCTCTCTGTGCTTTGTATTCTGCTGGAGTTGCGCAGACACTCTCAGCAGCCGCTTCCCACTAAAGAACAAAATTACCTATTATCCCTTTAATCTTGATGTACTTTTTTATGGATCTAGTTCCTAGCTAGTGTCCAATGAGGAAACAACATATTATATTCCTTTTAAACAATATTTTTTTAGAAGAAACATAGTATGGAAAGCCAAAATTTATTTCTAGATAGAACTTGCATAGTGTGTTCATTTATTGTTTTATAGGACCAATTAAAAAGACAAAAGAGCCTATTCTCCCTTTGATACACCAGAGTGACTTCCATTAACACTAGGGAAGGGAAATGCTTGTATAGAGATGAGTGAAGCCATCGCCAGGAAGTGGAGTAACAGGAAGTGAGCAGTGGGGTTCAGATGAACAGCTCCATGGTTTTCTCTAGAAAAGCTACACAAAAAGCAAACAGTTCAAGTCTCAAATGCCCTGCCACACACTGTGCCCTGCCACACACACACACACGCACACGCACACGCACACGCATGCACACCACTTTCTGCTTGTTTTTATATTGAGGAAATCAAGGGATAATCTGAGGCAGTTTCTTCCTTCAGAAATCAATTGAATGTGAATTTGCTATTTTAACACGGATGACACAACTCACAGAGAGAATTCGGTAATGAAAAGCAACCGGGGGATTTGACAGGTCTTTCCTGAAGTGCAGTCCTTGGAGACCAGCTCCTGAAGGCAGAGGTGAGAGGAAGAAATTGGTTACCTGCAAAACTGTACACAGCAGCTCGGAGTTGAGGGGAGTCGGGCTGACAGTGTCAGGCTTCTCTTTTGACACGTCTGCAAAGGGCTTCTGACTTAAGCAGTGCTCCCATCCACAGTCCTGTTGGTGCTCTGGCACCATGTGAACGTTTTATATTTCAGTCCTGCATAATGTAGCACAAATTGGGGGAGGCTGTCCTTTACCATTTCAGCCTTGGGGTAGTCACCTGAGGGTCACCTGTTGACAGTGAGACCAGTTCAGGATGCTGTCTATCAGGACCTGTGCGGTTTTCGTCTGTTTCCTTGGCTTTAGTATTGATGCATTCATTTTACATCTGGTAGGCATCAAGTTCAAATTTGGTTTCTAGCCTTTGAAAATGCACTTCAAAGACAGAGCGGCCCTCTCTTTGGCATCTCTCCATCTGCCCTCCATCTCCCTGGCCCAGACTTTTCATTTAGCTGCAAAAATCCAAGCTCAGTAGCATTCTTTGCCGCCTCCCAGTCTCTCCCCCGCATGATGTGTTAGCACTCTCTCTGAAATGCTGTTGCTATTCATACTGACCTGGAAAAGGCTTCTGCGGTACTTTCCTGTTCTAATTGCTTCCTTTCTTAACTATGACGAATCCTTCATCTCAGAATATTACTTGCAACCTTCTTTGGAATCAAATTAAACACCAACACCAAAAAAATCCATTACCCAGAGTTTCTTCTTTTGATTTCATTCGTTCATTCATTTGTTCATTTTTCATTTTTAAGACTGTGTCATATAGCCCAATTTGGCTTGGGACTGGCTCTGGATCTGTCAGTGACCTTGAACCCTAGACTCTCTTCCTGCTTCTACATCCCAGGAGCTTCCTTGCCCAGCTTATCTTCAAGGTTCCTTTTCTAAGTTTAAAAAAATGACTGAAGAACTGGGAAGTTGCGTCCATGGGAAATGCTTGGTGTACAAACGGCAGAACCTGAGTACTGAGCCCAGTGCCCACATACCAGCCGAGAATGGTCATATACATGTAACCCCAGTCCTGCAGGGTCAATGGACAAAAATAACTGGGTAACAGAATAGCTGGGGGTGAGCAGGGCCTTCTGCCAACCCCACCAACCACGTCCACTGCTGCTGAGGTTCAGGTGTGTAAGGCAGACAGGAGTCTTCCTGCTCGTGTGGGGTTTCCTCAGCAGGGAACCGGCTAAAGCACCAAACACTGAATTCATTGAGAGACCCTGCCTAAAAATGATAAGGTATGCAAATCCCCACATCACCCTCCATACATGTGTGCCCAGGTGAGCATGCTCCCCACATGTGTCCACACGCACAGTGACTGAACCTTTCTCTCCTCCTTTACACTTTAGTAGCCTTTTATGTTGGGGTCCAATTCAACCTTTATTGCTACAGTCAGAGTTCCCTAAAGAATCATCTTTATTTTTCTTCTCACAGTGAGAGTGCCTTTAATTTTTTTCCCTGTTTAGTACTGTGTGGTAGTTCTCAAGAGAACTTGGAGGTGAAAGATGGAAGGGGGGGACATGTAAATGGTTGCCAGGTCCCAATAGACATTCCATGTGAACTCTGAGTCTTTAAAAATCCTTTCCTGCTGACATTCCCTGGTGTGTCAGCTCTGGTTATTTCCCAAGCAGACACTGAGATGAGATGTGCCAGAGCAGAGCCTGGGATACTGTGATGGAGGCAAGGTGGACGCAGAGCAGTCAGAGAGAGCTCTGACCAGGGTGTTCCAGTGCCTGTGGAGGCCAGGGAAAGAAGAGTGCCTGGAAAGGAAGTCAGGTGTGGGACAGGACCACGGTTAGTCTTCAAGCCAGCTCCCTGCTGAGGAAACCCCACATGAGCAGGAAGACTCCTGTCTGCCTTGCACACCTGCCCAGCAGCAGTGGACATGGTGAGGTCAACAGAAGGTTCTGCTCACCCCAGCTGTTTTGTTACCACCTGAAGTATAGCTCTTGCCCCCAAAGGAAGAGGCCACCACCTGCCGGGACAGTCTTGCTTCTACTGGCTGTTCCAGCAGTGCCCAGGGCTGCCCTTGGAGAGTCCTCACAGGATCAGTGGGGTGGGGGCACTAAGGGTAAGACCTATACGTTCATAAATCAGCTCCAAGGCTAAACATACTTCCATCCCCACTCCACACATCACACTTACTGTCTTGTTTCCAACTTGGCACAGCCAAGTTTGTAAAGTTTACTTTTGGAATTTATCGCCACCGTGAAGATCCCCAACTTTAAAAGCAAATCATTTTCCCACTCCTCGAGATAAATTTAAGTCTATTTTTTCAGCTTAAAAATTATTATAAAAGAAAATAGAGTCTGTAATCAGGTTCTCTTGTCTAATGAACTAAATTTAAGAAATGAAGATGTGAAGTTCATCTCTTCAGGTTTTCACATTGCTGCAGGGCTCCTCATACCCAGGGCACTGGTGTTCTTGAGCGCTATCAGCTGGATTGTCCACTCCAGGTGGATGTGTTTCCTTCAGTGTACCACAAACTACACCTCTAACTGAAAGTGTCCAAAACTCTGTAACAGTGTCAGAGTGCCTATAACCCTGGCCTTGGATTTATGAATACTAATTCCCGGGCACTGAAGTAAATACACTAGTGCTTGGGGTTGCCAAAAGATAGCCAAGATTTCACGGCAACCAAGTAATGGTAAGGAGATAGAGTCACGGTTATGGTTTCCCAAAGATGCCCATAATCCATTACATATGAGGAGAAACTCAGCTGAGACATATCTCCCCATAAAGGTTGACTAGACTCTGGGCATTCACACCACTGGGGGAAAATCAAACCCTGTCAATGTTCAACTCCCGTAAATATTCCTGGCCCAGGACTCCACCTATCTGAGGCTAAGAACCTAGGCTCCCTGTTACTCAGCAACCCTGCCTGATGTAGAGAAATGCTGGATAAATACTTATAATAAAATAGGCTTTAACTCAATTCTTCTCATCTAAGCATCTGAGTTGCCTATTTGAAGAATGAACCAGTTTATAAAAGACTCATTTAAAATTTGTTTAATGTGCAATTGTCTAATATAGAGTTTTCTTACTACAGGGGGATAGAAACAGAACTAGAAACAGCCTGACTGTGGCTACAATGTCAGATTTCTGTGTTCAGCACAAAAGCCACATTGTTTGAATCAGTTGGCTTCATAATAAATCAATGTTTATAGTTATCACTGTAATTGCTTTAAAACATAACCATAACTTACAATTCCACTAATAAAACAACACATTTAACAGTAAAAAAATTTTACTTAAAAGCTGTGTTTGTTAAAAAAAAAAAAAATTGAAAACCCATGCTTCAGCAAGTACCGAACTGCTATTGAGCCTGTGAGTTTTTCCTGGATTTGTGGATTTGCATGCCCCTGTACATAACATCTGAGGGTCAGGTCCAGTGAGCATGCAGACCTCATTCGTAGTCTGCGGGCCGTTAAGTTACCTACGAGAATCTTACAAGCACCTGGCATACTGCCCTTCTCTGTGTTGTTTGCCTTCTTCTCTCTTACAAATGTCTTTGTGTAAAATAATCATAGAGATTGCACAGTATAAAATCAGCCCTTAATGAATGTAGTGATTAATTTTATTTTTCAATATCTGGAGAAACAATTATTTTGAACACTTTTGCTCTAATTGAGTAAAACAGTTTTAATTTTCAGAATTGACCAATTTCTTCTAAATTTTCCATGACTTTGTTCATAGTTACTCCAGCTCATGTCTTCCCCTAGAAGCTGAGTGGTTTGGGGTAGGAACTGCATCCTTGTGGTCCTCTTTGTAACAAGGACTACACAGCTGCACACAGCACATGCTAAGCAAACACTTGCTGAAGTTGAAAAAATGTATATGAAATGCCTTGTGCGCTAGTCTCTGTTGGAAGTGCGTAGAAATGCCCATCCTCCCTAATCCTCCGAATGGGTATTGCTTTCCCTAGACAAGAGAAATTTGAAGTACAGCATGTTGAAGTGGCAAGCCAAAGCCACATAGCTCTTAATGACAGAGCCAGATGTGGAGCTCTGGCTTCCATATCCATTCTTTGGTACTGGCACAATGCTGTCATACGTTAATGAATACGTTTCTCCTCTTGGTCACAAGGTGACTGGAGTAGCCAGGATTCAGCACTAGGATTCTTGCCATAACCTCATCTCCCTGTGCTATATAAGTACTATGAAAGAAATGCTCCTGTAGGTGAGCTCAGCCACTGGTGGGTGTCTTTAATATTTTACCCATCGAGACATTTTCTCCAGACTAGGGATGCAGTTAAGTTTGTAGCATGCTTGCCTAGCATGTATAAAGCTTTGAGTTTGATTCCCAGCCCTGAGTAAACCATGAGGTGCATGCCTGTAATTCCAGCATGGGGGAGGTGGAGGCAGGAAGATCAGGAGCTCAAGGCTATCCTTGACTACAAAGGGAGTTTTCAACTAGCTTGGGGCACGTGGAACTTTGTCTCAATAAATAAATAATAAAAGGGCTTTTTTGTTGTTGTTGTTGTTGTTGTTGTTTTCCAATCAGGAACTTTGGGCAAAGAACCTTGGCCTGTGAAACTGTTTCGAGCATTGAAATAAAAATTTTATTTTAAATTTTCAAAGTCTTCAAAATTGAGATAAAGAAATGCTTCTAGAACATAACACCAGTTTTATTGTTAAAATGTATTTATAAACATTTCAATACACTTGTAAATAATTGGTATGGTTAGTGTGTTTACTTCATTAGAATTCACAAGTATGCAAGATCATTGCTGAACAACCATAGCCAATAAAATTATTTTTAATGTTCAAATATTTTATGATAAAAATCATGCTTAGTGTGCATGCATTTTGCCCTCTAAGATGCAGTGAGGAAGGGCCTCTCAAGGTCTTTAAGTGATCTGATGAGGACTCATTTCATTTTAGTCCTCAATAAACTAGAAGATGCCTAATTCTCTGTGCATGGGCAGGCATCCTGAACAAGGCAAAGGAGAACATATGCACTGTCTCCTCTTTCTGGGTTCCACTTATTCTTCCATCTCCGTTTTCTCATGTGGTGATTCTGCAAAGCATTTCCTACAAAAAGCAGAAAAAATCCCTGGTTCTGCAAGTACCTCGGACCTGAGCCCTCAGTCAAGTGCTTGATTCTGCATCCTCTGAGGGGGAGGAGGTTGGACTAACTCCATGGTGCTGCTGGAGGAGCTGACTCAAGCCAGCCAGCTCCCAGCACCATGAATGAAGTCTTGGTAGCTCTTAAGCTCAGAGGAGAAGATGGAGATGTCCTTTACTCCTTGTAGAGGCTTAAGGCGCTTAGGCACAGCCTTTTTCTTGTCCTTCAGCTCTAGAAGCCACCTGCATCCCTTGACCCACAGCCTCATCCTTTATCCACACAGCCAGCAATGTCTGGCTCAGTATGGCTCATGTGGAAGCCACGTTTAAGGACCTTTGTGGCCATTTGAGGCCAATCCATATATAAGGTGGGATTGTCTTCCTACCTTACGGTATTTACCTTAATCACATCTGCAACATCTGTTTGCCAGCTAAGTCCCAGTACTACTGTGTGCATCCTCCAGAACGGGGAAGCTATATGATTCTGCCCACCACAGACGCACTTAGCAAATTCCAGGTGAACGTGTTCCTCGGGGCACCTGAGCAACTGCCAAGTGTACTCTGTGAGTGAGCACCTTCATCTCACTGTTCTCCAAGACTTCCCTAATGTACACATGCTCTGCTCTGACAGGGCGGC